CACGGGAGGTGGTTGAGGCCCCATTGGTGAGGGTGTTCAAGGATAGGCTGGACGTCCACATGGTGGGCATGTCGTGAGCAGAGCCGGCTGGTGCTGGAGGTCAGACTAGATGGCCCGGGAGACCCCTTCTGACTCGCTCTGTTTCTATGTTCTATGTTATTAAGGGGGCAAATGGAACCAAACTGGACAGTGTACTGATACCTAGGTCCAACCAAAATGTCACAGAGTGGAGGGACAGGGAAAGAAGGAAGGGAGGGAAGTAAGCAAGCAAGCTGGGTGTTACATTATTTCAAGGCAGCTTGCATGGTCCTTCTCTCCATTTTATGCTCACAACAACCCTATTAGGTAGACTGGTCAGAAAGCCCAAGGAGCTTCACAGCCAACCAGGGACTTGAACCCGGATCACCCTCATAGTTCAATGTGGCTTCCCTAGCAGAAATGCCTTGCAGCATCGAGCATGGTAACATCACATCCTCATGGTAAGTATCTCTGAACTTGGCATGGCACGAAGAGGTTTGTTCTCACGGCCCAAGTGACCAGCCATGTCAATCCATCTGGTAAGTGTGAATGCACTAATATTCTGTAAACCAGCCTTGCAGAACTAAGGCTAGAAATATTTATCATTCATAAACTATGTTGTACCTTTAAGGTCTGCTTATAACAACATTCATATTTTCCTTTGGGGAGAATTTTGTTGTTTCTAACCAAGATGATCTTTCCTGAATTTTTATCTAAAGTGGCACAAACATGTAAGTCCTTGAATTGGATTAGAATGCTGAATCTCAATGGCAAGAATAGCACAAAACATTACTTAGGAAAGAGACGATGCACTTATCTGCCTCCAAGATGTGGCCTTGTCTTGTTTTTCTGCTCAAAAAAATACCTCCCTGTTTTTACGCTTGTGTGAGACGAGTCAGAAATAACACAATGCTTATGTCTCCAAGTGGATGCAGGAAATAAAGGAAAAGGTAAAGACAGAAAACCTTCCAAGTAAGGTGATCCTATAGCGAAGCAGTCTGACCCATCTGGAGGGTGTGGGTTGTAAGTTGTGGCTGCTGGGTGCCATCAAGTCATCTCCAACTTGGGACAACGCCATGAATGAAGGCTCTCCATAATGTCCTATCCGTGACAGCCCTGCCCAGTTCTTGTAAATTCCGGGTAGCTGCTTCCTTTCTGTGGTCCATCCATCTCACATTTGTTCTTCCTTTTCTCCTTCTGCCTTCTGCTTTTCTTAGCTCGATGGTCTTCTGCAGGGAGTTGTGACCGAAGTAGGACAGCCTCCGTTTTGTCATTTTAGCTTCTAAGAAAAGCTCTGGCTTGACTTGATCTGGGACCCACTTTCTGTCTGTCCAGGAAATTCCCCAAACTCTCCTCCAGCACCATCTTTCGAATGCATCAACGTTCTTCATCGTTCTTCACTGTCCATCTTCCACACCCATACATGGGTTGCGAGAGGCTGGTATGAAGGCTCTCTGGAGAGGGCAAAGCCTCTGACCAGGACCTTGAAGCCCTGCTGAAAATGGGGTCTATTCATCTGTCCAGAGGGGCTTCTAGGGTCCCAGTATGGGTGCCGCCTACACTGGGAAGTCCGCTCACCTGGCTCAGTGTAGGAAGCATGGCCTACTTCTGCCACTGGCTGGCTTGCTTACCTTCAGGAAGGGGCGTGCAAAGCAGAGTTCCCAAGGCACTCGCTTTTGCAGCAACAGCCGGTAGGACTTTGCAAGCTGCCCTGCCTGGCAAGTGCCGCCTAGCGGGCTTTTATGCACCTAAAGTGCACTGAGCTTTCAGGGCAAGCACCAAGGGAGGACGCACCAATTCAAAGGAGTAGCTAGCCAGCAAGATGTGTAATAGCTTCAATGGATCAAGCAGAGACCAACCCTGTTGCGGGATGCCTGTGAACCACCTGCCTTGGCCCCTTGGCGATGGAGCACTCCCGCCCACCGTGGGCCCGGGGAGCAGAGCACGGATAGATCTACTGAGCTTCAGTGAAACATCTGTAGAATCTGAAAAGAGGACCACGATTGTCCTTTGCTCCCACCAACAGCAGCCCGATCACTACTTGGCTTTTGGGCTATTTTTGAACTGCCTCCTTCTGCATATTTTCGGCCAACAGTCAGCATAACTTAGTCACCTCAAGTTCCTGTTTTGCACCACAAAAATGAAGCAGATTTTCATGAATGGAGCCTGAAAATGATGGCAAAGTCACATGAATACTGTATTTGTTCCAACAAGGACACCAAACTCGCTTATTTATTTTGCTCAGCTGCAGCCTTTTGAATGTTGTGTGCCTTGGTGACTTAATTTGCTTCTAGACCTCAGGTTTTGTTTTTGTTAATTTAAGCTTGGCCTTTGATCTGTCTGCCATAGCATTTTTCTTCCCTCACTCCTCTGCTCTGCTTGGGGTGCATTCATAGTCTGGAGATGGGCTACTAAGTTAGGGGGCTTCAGGAAGAGTTGATCCTGCCAATGACCAGACTAGATGGATTTCAGGACAATACGTATCTCTACTCTTTTTGAAAAGTGTGAATTATATTCCATTCAGCTTTTGCTTTTCTTGCTAGAGACAAAGCCATGCAAATACCACTGATTGCAGAAATAAGCAGTAAGACTGCTATTGTAGTTTGCCGGGGCAGGTTTTGGAGGAAGAACTCCGAGTGAAGGGCTGCCATTCTCTCAGTTTCAGATGCTGATGCGAAAGAAAGCTGTGGGCTCTTCAGAGCAGTCATGCTTTCGATCAAGAAATGTGACACGTGGGAACAGAGGCAGCTGTTAGACCATTGCTCCAGTCCAGTACCATTGGAGAAGCTTTCCCAGGTTTAAGGAAACCGTTTTTCCAACTCTTCCTGGGAATGCCAGGAATTAAATCTTGGCAAGCCTTCTACTTCAAAAACAGGGTCTTGCCACTAAGATATGATGTCCTTGTCTAAGTCACACTGTGTGCAAATCATAACTATTTTTCCCTTCAAGATGCAGAGAAATGAAGGAGGAATAGATTCTCAACAGTTTCTAACTGGAAGCAATTGCTTTCTTCTCCAGTGGCCATCTGCATAAGCTATTTTGGCTCCTGGTGGTGTTCTTCACAGCAGGATCAGAAGGCTACTGCTGTTTCTGATTCCATCATCTCTGCCTCTTCTTTTCCCATCATGCACACCTTCCCTCTGTTGACAGCAGCATCTCCCTTTAAGCAGGGGCTCTCTAGTTTTGCTTCAAGGTCTGTTTCTGTGGAGGGATGCCTGCTCATCAGCAGCAGGGTGGGATTGGAGGAAAGAGGAGAATGCAGGAGCAATCAGCCAATTGTCTGTGGGGGGGGGGCGGTGCTGTGATTGGCTGGCTGTGCAGGTGCTGATGGCAAAGGGAAGATGAAATGCGATGCAGGAGAGAAAGACTCCTGGGCTAGTGGCAGAGAGATGTCGCAGCACAGAGTGGAGCAGAACACCCTCTCAGTAAGGCTCTCTCTAAATCCAAGGGTCAGAACTGGCCTGCCCATTGAGTGACTGATGAGCAGCAAGGAGGGGATGGCCATGAAAGGTGGAGTTCTGGCTAAGTCTGAAGCTGCTTAGCCCCAGAGGTGGAGAGGAGGGACGGAAAGTGGGCTTAGTGGCCGTTCCTGGAAAGAAATGTGGCTCCTGTTTGGATAAAAGAGAAAGTCAGCTAGCACGGGACTGGGAGACCTAAGTTTCTAGTCCCCACTTGGCCACGAAGCTCCTCTGGAGCCAGTCCCTGCATCTCGGCATCGCCTACCTCACAGGGATGTTGTGAGGATGAGGAGGAGGAGCGTGTGATCCACCCTGGGTTCCTTGCAGGACAAAAAGCCAGGATATGCTGTTACTTGGCTCTCCTTGGGCATTCCTGAATCAAGCGACATCTCTCTTGTTCCTTTGCTGCATGAGTGCCTTTCCCTGTGCGTCTCAGTGACTCTTCAACACGCAACCAGGCCGCAAGCAAGGGTGTGTGGAGCCCTGGGCCACAGGGAGGGGAGCAGCCACGGTGCCCGAAGCGCGGAGGATGCTGCTGCCCGCCACGTGCTGTGCTGCTTGCTTGCTTGCTTTCCTTTCTTTTCAATACATGCACCATGAATAATTTTCTACACTTCAAAGCTGGGGCAACTTGCCCGGGAACACACCGACCTTTGGCACAATGATTTCTCTTTCCCAAAGTTAAAAGCACTTGACTGAAAAGGGAGACGAACCTGACATTTTCTTTCTTTAACCTTCTGCTCGGTTTCTGTACATCACTTAGGAGGGCTGTTCTCTCCTGGCAAAGAGGGTTGCTTCTCAGAGGTGATTGAATTCCTGGGCAAAGTGGCATGTGAAGCCGCCTTATGCCAGGGCTGGACATCCAGCCTCTCCAACCTGCAGTGTCTCTGTCTGGGGTCTTTCTCAGCTCTGCCTGGGAGCTTTCCCTGACTGCTCTGCTGCCACGATGCTCACGGTTTTCAGAGCGGGCCAACCTTGTGGCCCAATGGGTGGATCAGAAATGCAGTTATCTTTCAGATGTCACATGTATCTGCACTCTGTTATGCGATTGTTGGCTGGCAACCAGAACAAAATGCACTGAAAAAAACCACTGTTTTAGGCTAAAACACGCTTAAGGTGCAACCCAGTTGGATGCCTGTAACCCTCTGAACTTGGACAGGTGCCCAGTGGGGGCAGAGTAGAAAGGTCACCTTGACACTCCACCTACCCTGCAAGGCCACTAGAGCTGGTTTGGGCATCAGGCTGCAGTCCTTTGGACTGGGAGGGAAGGAAGCTGGAGAGCTGTCCAGATGCATTGCATCTGGGGCCCCTGCCAGCCTCCTAGAATGCCGCATATACTCCTCCTCTGAGGTCACTCCTACAACCTTGGAGAAGCAGCCGGCACAGTTCTTAGCAAGCTGGCTGTGAGGTGTAAAAGATGATCCAAGCAGGGATGCCCAGCTCTGCGTTCAGAGCTCTTTCCTGATCGCAAATCGGTCAGTATGAAAAGTCGTACCACTATCTCAAAGTTGCCTAGTGGCTCTAGAATAGCACTGCCAGAAACTCTGAGCTTAAATGCATTCAGAAACGTGCACTTTGTAGAAGAACGCATTGCAATGTGTATTTAATACGTGGTTAAACATGACTTTTGTGCCTTCAGAACACCATCACTGATTCTTGTGGAAACAGGCTGGGAGAGTTTTATGAATGAACACACTGGAAACAGACAGGAACCAGAAATTGACCGGACTGTCCATCTCTTTCTTCCACTGAGCTTTGCTGATGCAAGCTGTGTATAGTGATGCTGTTTTTTTCTGGAGGTGAGCACTGAGTTGCAAGTAGTACATTAAACCATCCTATTACAGTGCCGGTCTCTGCTCCAGTGCTCTTGGTGCATCCTGAATCCTGGAATTCACATACCAATTTAGAGGAGGTCATTGATAAACAGTATGTCTCATCTTCCCCGAGGACTCAAGAAAGGACTCCAAGTATCCCGCTTTGGAAGTTGTCAACTTTGCAGTGATACAAATGTGATGCCTGCGTACACAAAATTTCCTTTGCTTTCTTCTGCGTGAAACTGAAATGCTGTCGCCATTTTCTTGTCCGCATCCGGAACTTAACAAAACAAAATGAAAATGACCTGCTCAGAATGGAATAGAACACTTGATATCACCTTTAGACCTATATTCACGTTTTTGGATTTTTGGAGACCTCTATGCAATGGCAAATGCGAATTTCTGCATGCAAATTTGAATGAAATCCCCCACCCCTCCCAGCTTACATTCTCTTTTTCTCTTTTTGTTCTAGTACTAGCACCACATCTGGGGATGAAACAGGAGTGAAATTCCAATCATGCCTTGCCTCTGAACCTCACAGATACAGTGCCAGGCCATTGTTGGTAAGCAGGTTGCTAATCTAAAAAATGTTTTTTCTGATGATCCAGTCTCATGTACACCAAAAAAGGGAGTAGCTGGCTTTGGCACCACTAGGACTTTCCCACCTCTATAATGTATCAGCGACAGGCATTTCTATTACTTTCCATTTCTCTCATTTTCTGCTTTGTCCAGTCTTCATTCAGGTTCTTCCTGAACTTCGAGTATTTTTAAAACATGTTCACATGAACATTCAGGTGCCTTTTTGTATGTATTTTTCCATGGGTGTTTTTGCCCATTGTACACACTTCTGCAAACTGTTCACCAAAGGTAATGCTTTTAAAAAACATGTTCTTGTTTGCATTTTTTATAGAAAATTAGTTTTGCAAAATTCTGAGAAGTGCAAATTTGGAAGACTATATGTGAGTTCATGTACCAGTCAGCTGGTGCAAAATTGGCAAGTTTGCTTTAAAATATATACTGAATAAATTTCTCACATCCTCTTAATTTAGCCCTTGTTAGCAACCTGGACCATCCAGCCACTGAGTGAAACAGTACCAGAGGCCCTGCTGGACGCCCCCCCCCCCCCCCGTTGTGACTAATTATTGCCCCTTTCTAAGTGGACCTTACTCCTCTTGCCCGTTCTTGTCCCATCTCCCCCAAACTCCCCCCCCCTTTCTCCTCCTTACTACCAACCTGCTTGCCTGCATTATGGGATTCGGACCTTCACTTTTCTCTTAGGGCCAATCCAGATGCTCTTCAAATCAGTTTGGCTCTGCACAATTAATTTACCTCTGTGTAAAAACGAGCGACCCATATTTAGATGAGGTCTGTAGTGATCTGGAAGCTGGGACTGAAACTTTCCCCTTCTTATTTTTATCTCTAAATTCTGTTTTTTTCTTTTTTCTTTGACCTACCCCCAGTGTGCGCATGCTCCCCCCCCCCCCCCGTGTGTGTGTGTGCGCACACACACATGCAATTTTGGCATGAACACAAGAAGGGGATGCATTAATCCTCTTCCCAAGTTACCACAGTCCCGGTCTGAATTTTGCAGACTTATACAGAAGTAACTGAACCATGCATAGCGCTGCTGTTTGTGAGCAGAACAGCATCTAGACTGTCACCATCATTATCATCTCATTTATGCCCTGCCGTTCTTCCTTTTGCAAGGAACTCAAAGCAGCTCACACGAGTCTTCTCCCCTCTACTTTATCCTCACAATAACAGCCCTGCAAGGCAGGTGGGTCTGAGTGTCTGTGACTGACCCAAAGCCGCTTGCGTTGTCAGGCAGGAAGCACTGCAGCTCAGTGCTGCCGCAGGAGCTTTCCATGGGGAAGGTGCAGTTCTGGCATCTCCAAGTTGGGGAATCATGTGGCAGAGCCTTCTCTGAAAGAATAATTGGCTGGAAGGACAAACCGTCTAATCTGGTACAGCACAGCTTCCTACTTGCTAACCTAAACATTACCAAGCCTGCACGACAGTGCCAGGGTCTTGGAGGTACGTTGTCAAGGAACTGCTGGCTCCTTTATGAATGAAGGCCACGTTACACCAGCTAACCTTGGGGAGCGATGCAAAGGAGGGACTTGCCCGTAGTTTGCCTGGAAAGGATTGGGGGCTTTTGCTGGGGGTTATTGTGTGCTGCCACTGAGAACAAGCCCTGATGATGCATTCACACACACACACACACACCACTCAGGAAAGGAAAAGGTATTCAGCAGAAAATAAAGAGCAGCCACAAGCTTTTAGCCCAGCGTTGTCTAGACAGCAAATATCCTTACTGCATCCTAATCTTACTCTCTGTATCTAAAAGAGCTTCCGGCCTAACAGAGAGAGAGAGCGAGAGCGAGAGAGATGGTTGTTTGGGAGTCCTGCGGGGTGCGGGGGGGGGGGGAGGATTCCAGACAGCTGTCCCCCGTTTGGGCAGGAAAAGCTCAAGGTGTCCACAGGCTGGGTGGAGGCAGCCCTGGGTTCAAAGCTGGCCCTTGCTTCAGGTTAGTGCCTGCCTCCCCTTCCCGTTGAGTCCTCGAACGAATGCTATTTGTGCTTGCCACTAAGGGAAGGACGAGTTTCCCAGACTGCGACTGATTGTTGGATGGGTGCTTGATTGCTTCTTGATGAGCTTACCTATTGTTCCTGGGGGGGACAGTGGGAGTTGTTTGTGGGCTGCTACTGATAGGTTAACTGCCAGGTGCCTCAGGACAATGCATCACCCTCCCTGCAGGGCTGTTTTGCCTAATCTCATTGCAGAGGAAAGGTCTGACTTGCAAGAATTCCAGCATTCATTCTTATCTCACACTGTCTGGCCCAGGATAGTCCATCCTTCTTCCCCGAATTCAGCAGTGGCCCTGGCCTGAAAGCCAGTTCTGGCCTGGGAGCTTATGGTTCTGCACCAGTATTGGTAGAAGCACTTGCTACAGGCAGAACCTGCGTCTTTGAATGAAATCCACCATGCAACCATCACAAAGATAAAGCAATAAAATCCTTTGCACCAGCACATGTGGTGCATCATGAAGCAGGTTGGGAAAAAGGGTTTGAGCAAAGCTCTCACTGGCTGGTCTTGGAGCAGGGAAAGATCCTGCCAGCAAGCTTTTCCAGAAGGATATGATCCACTGATCTCTGGGTGTGCTGAGTAACACATCTCCAGACATGGTGGGTGATGCTTCTCCACAGCTGTGATTCATAAGGGCCAGACTCTTGGATGGCCAGTTGCACAATGTGACCACAATAAGAGCCTGCAACATTCATCTTTGGATTTCTTTGCTGCTGGACTTTCAACCAAGCAGCCTTTTCAGAAAGATTTATTTAGGTGCTTATTTGTTTATTCATATCCCACCTTTTTCCCTTTCAAGGAACTCTAGGTGGCTTACCTCATTCTCCTCCTCCCGCTTTCAATCTTATCCCCACAACAAGAACCCGGTGAGGTCGGCTGGGCTGAGAGTCTGTGCCTGGCCCAAAGTCGCCCAGTGAGCTCCATGGCTGAGTGGAGACTCGAACCCGGATCGCCTGAGTCCCAGTCCCACGCTCTTCGCCACTATGCCGCACTGGGTCTGGCTTTGCTGCTGTGAGGTTCGCCACTTGGAGCAGCCTGAAATATTCAGCCTCTTGGCCACTCGTATTTTCTTGCCCTCTTAGCGTGGTAAGGTGGCCGTGCTTTGGTGACAGTAAATGGGGTCACCCTCTCAGAGCGGAGACCTTGCATTCGGAGGTGTGTCCCATGGCTGGATTCCGTTTCCCAGAAGCTTCTGGGGCTCACATTCCACGGATGTGTGGGACAAGGGTCAGCGCTGTGGCCACCAGCCCTGGGAGACAGGCCCCTAAGTACTGTGTGTTTTGACTTAACTCTCCTGCTGCCAGTGACGTCACCTTTGGAGAGGCAGTTTCACCTTTTAGAATGGACGGGGACATGAGTAAAAGCCAGCAAGCTCAACGCTGGCCAGTGTGGCATTGTAGTGAGAATGCTGGATAGGAGATCTGAGTTGCCGTCCCCACCCAGCCACTGAAGCTCACTGGGTGACTCTGGGCAAGCGACTGACTCTCAGCTTAACCTGCCTACCTCACAGGGTTGTTGTTCTGAGGGTAAAATGGAGATGAGGGGAATCAAGCACCCCACTTTGGGTTCCTTGGAAAATGTGGTAGGACTGGTAGTGGTATACTAGTCATAATGATGATGAGGAGGAGGAAGAGAAATGATCAGGGACCTGGGAAAATCACTTGAAGATGTGAGCATGGCTATCCAAGGACCAACTGACTCTTTGCCAAAGGAACCCCCCCCCCCCCCACACACACACACAAACCTGGCCCAGCCATGACCAGTCTAGACAGATCAGTTGCCGGACCTGGTATAAAAACTTCCTAAGTTCAAGGTATGCATTTAAATCCTATGCAAGCGCAACATGGAGAACAAGCGAACCAGAAATGCAAATGAAAAGCTACAGCGCCCAAATCTCTGGCTGCTGACAGCAGAGGATACACAGGATGGGTTCGCAGAGATCAGTGGCGGTCGGCGTTCTTTGGCAAGCGCGTCACAAGCCAAGCTTAAAATATGAGACAGTGCTGCTTGGTGTGCAGTCCTGGGACACAGGGGGCCTTCTGTACATAGCGTGAAATAGAAGTCGCACCGGCTCGTGTGTGTGTGTGTGTGGGAATACATGCGCATGCTTTTGCATGAAGACTTTCCTCTCCGTCTGGGCCCCAAAGGAGGCTCCACTGGGCTTTGGGGTGGGCTTCCCTTGAGTAGGGCAAGCCAGGGAGAAACAGGCATGTGAAAGCCAGGACATGGGCCAAAGCTGAAGACCTGTGGCTGTGCACCGGGGCGGGGTCAGCATGGTGAGCCGCTTGCCAGGGGCCGTGGCACAGCTGCCGCAGGTCCGGATCCCGTCCCGCTTCTTCTCATCCTTTGCTCTGGTCTCTCCCAGCAGGAGGAGTAGCAAGGGCAGCCGTCCCCCTCTAAGCTGCGCCTCCTTATGGCACTGGCAGAGAGACAGCGGCCTCCGCTTCGGCTGGGAACAGCAGGCCAGCTCAGCAGGCAGCCACCGCCATCCCGCGGTGCCTCGCTGCTGTTCACTGGCCTGCCATGGCAGCTGCTCATGGCCACTGGGGGGGCGGGGGGGGGGGCTGCAGCAAAGCACAGGGCGTGCTCTGCCTGCCGAGGAGGACGCTCTAAGGGCTCCCCCTTTTGCCCTGCCGGCTCTCCCGACCAGGGCCTTTCCCGGGGCCACTGGCCGGGATGTGCTTGGAGGAAAGGACCTGGCAAGCCCTGGCCAGCATCAGGCAAGCCCTGTTGCCACTGCAAAGCCAGCCCAAGTGGATGAGAACAGGCAGGGGAGGGGCAGATGCTGCTGTGCCACAGGATCTTCCCCCTAGCGGCTGTCTCACTCTGCCTCAGGGTAGGACCGGCCCTTTTCTCACCGTTTGTTCTTGCACGCAGACAGGAAGAGCAGGGCGCTGAATGCATCTTACCTAAGCCCTCCCCACCCAAAACCTGGTGCATCTCCTACACTACAAGTCCGTCACCCCGTCCCACAGA